GACATACCTAATTTTGAACACCCTGTGTTGTCTACTTTTGCAAATGGTATGCCATGATGGGGGGGGGGGGAAAGGAAATGTGCTATATTATATCCTGTAAGTTTTCAAAACCCCATAAAACCTTTACTGTTGTACTTGTGAGACATCGCTGAACACAAATATATAAGTTATTGCAGTAATAGCTAACAGTATTATGACATTTCTAGTTCAAAATGCCATGCAATACTTGAAAAATAACAACATTTCTTAATTTCTCAAACTTATTTAACCTCTTAAGGACATGTCATGATTCCCTTTTATTCCAGAAGTTTGGTCCTTAAGGGGTTAAATTTGATTCATATTATATTCTATATATAAGTTGTTGTTTTTTTTTCCAATTGACAGTTTTTTATTTTGTCATAAGTCAAAAAAACAAAACATGGGGATACAGAACAAGGAAATAGGGGCGGGGGGGAGAATTTCAGGCTGACTACACAGACAATAGCTATGTGTAATCATATACATATATATATACATCATGGATAAACATCTACATACATGCGCATCATGGTTTTCATTGGTTCCAGAGATTCATTAATAGTTTACAGAAGTTTCCCTTTTATGAATACATGGTGTGTTGATGTCATTTCCCTTTTTGTCGGTTTTGGTCATAGTAAGGTCATCGGGGTGTGTGCAGTTTTCTTGTTTATTTCTAATTTTCTCCGTGAGATTCCTTTGTGTGTAGATTGGTAGCGTTGGCTATGCGGGTTCCAGATTGTTTTAGGGTGTTTGTTTGGGGAGCTTCGGGTCTACCCATCCCTCTCACTCTGTCCCTCTCCCATGTGTAGGTCCCTACTTCAGTGTTCATGGGGTGGGGCGGCACTTATGCATGTGTCTGGCTCTGTGGTCTACCTTTGTCGAGCATTGCGGTTCCCTCCCGCCGCTAGGCATGTTGGTGATTCATAGTTTGACTGCCTCTGGGTGTCTTATCTTGGGTTAGATATATTTTGCTTGGGTGCTGTGTCTTTGCCTGTTGGTGCTCCTCGTGACGCCTCTTAACCTATGATTCAAGGTCCGTTAGTCTCACTGGAGTAGTTGTGGTTGGGTGTTGTGGTGCGTGAACTTGTAAAATGTTTTACCTACAGGTTGTGTGCCTCCAGTACCCCTTTTCGTGTGGCCATTCTTTCGTAAGCCCAGTTTTGGTCTACCTGCTTTACAAGATCCTCTATAGGTGGGGTCATTGTTTTTTCCAATGTCTGGATATCACTATTTTGGCTGAAATTAATGTGTGGTATATTATCAGCTTGACTTGTTTTGGTATTTTTTCTGGTAAGATAAACAAGAGACACACCTGTGGTTCATCTACTCTTGGGGCTGGTAGTATCTTTTGCAGTATGTTTGCTACCTCTTCCCAAAATGGTCTGAGTATGGTGCATGTCCACCAGACGTGTATCATTGTACCCACGTCCCTCCCGCACCTCCAGCATATATTGCTGGTTGTAGGCCATATTTTGTGCAATTTGTCCGGTACTAAATACCAGCGGTATAGGATTTTGCGCTGTGTATCAGGGGCTCGGAGGACAGGTGTCAATCCATATCTGCCAAGTGACCCTATGTAGGAGAACAGTCTCTATTCTGCTCTGTGTCAGTGTGTATAATGGTCTCTGAGGACAGGTGTCAATCCATATCTGCCAAGTGACTCTATGTAGGAGAACAGTCTCTATTCTGCTCTGTGTCAGTGTGTATCATGATCTCTGAGGACAGGTGTCAATCCATATCTGCCAAGTGACCCTATGTAGGATGAACAGTCCCTATTCTGCTCTGTGTCATGTGTATATCAGGGGTCCTTAGGACATGTGTCAATCCATATCTGCCAAGTGACCCTATGTAGTGGGAACAGTCTCTATTCTGCTCTGTGTCAGTGTGTATCATGATCTCTGAGGACAGGTGTCAATCCATATCTGCCAAGTGACCCTATGTAGGGGGAACAGTCTCTATTCTGCTCTGTGTCAATGTGTATCATGGGCTCTGAGGACAGGTGTCAATCCATATCTGCCAAGTGACCCTATGTAGGGGGAACAGTCTCTATTCTGCTCTGTGTCAGTGTGTATCATGGTCTCGTAGGACAGGTGTCAATCCATATCTGCCAAGTGACCCTATGTAGGGGGAACAGTCTCTATTCTGCTCTGTGTCAGTGTGTATCATGGTCTCTGAGGACAGGTGTCAATCCATATCTGCCAAGTGACCCTATGTAGGGGGAACAGTCTCTATTCTGCTCTGTGTCAGTGTGTATCAGGGATCCTTAGGAAAGGTGTTAATCCATATCTGCCAAGTGACCCTATGTAGGGGGAACAGTCTCTATTCTGCTCTGTGTCAGTGTGTATCGGGGGCTCTGAAGACGTGTGTCAATCCATATCTGCCAAGTGACCCTATGTAGGGGGAACAGTCTCTATTCTGCTATGTCAGTGTGTATCAGGGATCATTAGGATAGGTGTCAATCCATATCTGCCAAGTGACCCTATGTAGGGGGAACAGTCCCTATTCTGCTCTGTGTCAGTGTGTATCAGGGATCCTTAGGACAGGTGTCAATCTATATCTGCCAAGTGACCCTATGTAGGGGGAACAGTCTCTATTCTGCTCTGTGTCAGTGTGTATCATGGTCTCTGAGGACAGGTGTCAATCCATATCTGCCAAGTGACCCTATGTAGGGGGAACAGTCTCTATTCTGCTCTGTGTCAGTATGTATCATGGTCTCTGAGGACAGGTGTCAATCCATATCTGCCAAGTGACCCTATGTAGGAGAACATTCTCTATTCTGCTCTGTGTCAGTGTGTATCATGGGCTCTGAGGACAGGTGTCAATCCATACCTGCCAAGTGACCCTATATAGGGTGAACAGTCCCTATTCTGCTCTGTGTCAATATGTCATATGTCAGGTATCCATCCATATCCATTGTGATTTAGGAATGTTAGGTGATTTCTGCCCTTTATGGATTAAGACCAGACTCTGCATCAACTGTGTTTGATGCGCGAAAATTTGAGAAAGTTCGCGTTGACCATTCGCGAACCGAAAATATCGTGTTTGCGACATCACTAGTTGTGAACCATTATCACTGTTATTAAATCAACCCCCGTAGTTGGCATACACATCCTTTTCTTGTAATATTTTGCAGAGGGTGTATTAAGAGGCTCATATGGCTCTTACACATGAAGTGCAACGAGAGGCTCAAATGTCACTAATGCATTCACTATTTAGCAGTTCACTCATAAGCACTCAATTTGATGTTTTTCACAATTTACTTTTTACTTTCACACACCCACATTTTACTCTTGCACCCTTGCTGTATTACTTCAAGGTCATCCTTTTAAAAGTTTTCTTATACTAGTCCATATTTGGAGTTATAGTTTCCAAGCAACCATGTTTTTTTTACTGTGTTGAGTCTGTATTAACAAGTTACTTGTTTCCTAGCAACCTCCCGTTTGCACTGGGATACCCGTTGTCACATGGGATACTCACTCTCTTTGGGTTTCCTAGTGTGAAAACTTTCTTGCCCTTTGGTCATTGTTTACTTAATTTTCTACATACATTTCTATATATATTGCCCCATTATCACTAAGTTTTTGATTTTGAAAACGGGCAGAATAGATTGAAACGTTCAATTTTTTCATGCAATATTCATTAGCACCAATATATAATCTCAATTAGCTAAGAAATGCTTAGCTAATTGAGATTATATATATATAGGTGTTAATGGATGTTGAAAAAACAAAAACAAAAAATATATATATATATATAATCTCAATTAGCATTTCTGAACATCTGACAACCAAGGGTCCACAAATAAAAACCTGGTATTATTAACTGTCATTTTCACATTAATCTCTATACTATGGTTAGTAGTAATACTGATAAACATTTCCTTTCTTTCGTTTAAGAAAGAAGGGTACCTGAACATGCTAGACATGTGTCTTTTGTCAATTTCATTAAGAAAATAACTAAATAGATATGGATTAATTCCAAGCTCAAGGGAATAGGACAACAGGGCATTTTTAATATATATACATAATGAATCCTTAGTTAACAAAGTTATTTCATTAGTCTGTCATTAGTAATACACTTTTAGTTTATTTTGACTTTAGTAATATACTAAATTACATTGCTAATTATCAGTCAAACATGACAAAAGCATACATATCATTGGAAACCTAATTATTATGTTCTTGTAAACATAACTATATAATTTATATAAATATAATAAATTATAATGACAATACATTTAATAAATGTAAAAAAAAGCTACACACATAAATGTCTATATCAATATATGATTAATTGATTATATTAATATTCATTTATTTATATGGAATGCCTGTTAGCAGATAGTGCTTTAGAATACATAACTGTGCGGATGGTGATGCCATCCAATTTATTATTCCTGGTACTATCTAATAATGCACGATTGCACATATAAACTCTGTGTTGTCCAAGGACTTAATTTCAGGAAGAAATGGAGTATTTATGTCCCGTTCTCCCAGATATTAGTGGAGGTTACACTCCTGAATGGTACCTGCTGCCATTTTAATAACAGAAATAGAAATAGGTAACACTAACACTGTTTGCTACACTAACGCCAGAACTAAACAATAATCTATGCACTACACTAAACATTAACACATACACTACATTAACACTAAACAATACACTATCGTAATCCTTATAGTAACACTAACTAACCTGAAGATATCATATAAAACATCATAATATACAAAAGCTGCATAATGGCAAGCACTTGTTAGAGGAAACTATTGCTGAAGACATTTAAAAACCACTTGACTTTCACTCTTGTGGTTTATAAAGATGTCTCTAAAACCACTCAATGCAATTATATATATATGAATTTGTTTATTTATTTTTTTTATTATGTATTACATGCTATTCGTAGTCAGACCAAGTGTGTGTGTCTTCAACTGACTTTGTGTGTCTGTGTTTGGATACATATGTTTATCTCACCTAGATATACATTCCTTCCGCCACACACACACACACACACACACAGACACACACATATATATACATATGTGTGAGTGTGTGTGTGTGTGTGTGTGTCGGACGGAATGTTTATCTAGGTGAGAGGCCCTGGTCAATTTCTTTTTAAGAGCCCCAAGACTTCAGCTGCTCTGATTCAGTCCCTAAACAGAAATTATGTGAGAGAGGGGCTGAAGAGATAGGTATAGATACGGGATACTAACTACACCTCTCTATGAAGGCCTAACTTAGGCTGAAACAATTGTCCATGGTTGTTGAAGCTCTTCAGGAAAACTTGCCAGCCTTTTGGTATCAGTTTTGATATGGAAATGGTATAGGGTCTCTTTGTAATGGCACAAGTGAACAAAAAAAGGGGTTTTAACCCTTTATTTACTGGGGAGGGGGGGGGGGTGCGAAGGAGGCGGGAGGCAGAGGGATCGGTAGTGCCAGGAATACAGCTTTGTATTCCTGGCACTACAGTATCCCTTTAGTCAACTTTTTTTTCCCATCAGTCATCACTTTTGAAGGGATATTCCAGGCTCTTATTGCGCTTCAGTTGCAGATTTCAAAAGAAATTGGCACTTTTATAAATGAGAAATTTTTGCATTTTTATATATGCCCCACAATGAAAAAATGCATAATTAGATGCATGTATGTTTTCATTGGGGATATAATTAGATATCTAAAAATAGATCTATTTTTTATTTGGTTGAATAAAGTATAAAGATAAAAGTATCTTACTTAAAGGTGGATACTTTTAATTTGCCTTGACATTTGTAATTTCCCTGTCATGAAAAAAAAAAAATATTTTGCTTCTTTGCATTGAATGGAAGATTAGTTATTGGGGAGCGAAATAAGAGATGCTACAAGGAATCTGATGGAAGATAAAGTTTAATACGTACTTGTAATTCTTGTTAACATTGCTTTTGTTATCGTCATATCTTCTTATTCCATTTTCTGACCAGGTTTCTTAAGCAGAGCATATAGAGCACAAACTACCACACTAGCAGCACAATAGGCTGTTTGATGACAAACCCTAAATTTACACAAATTCAGCAGAGATAGCCCATAACTGGTTCCAGGCTGCCAGAGATTAAAAACAGGAAAATAAATTCAAATATCTATGTATTGACAGCATTTTAAGAAGTGCTGCACATACAGAGTCTGTGGCAAACCTAGCCACTTGGACAATATAATGAGACTTTGCCTTTAAGGGTTGCCTGTATGTCTGTGGGGATATGTGTTTAACTAAGTATAATGTATGCTGGCTGTAATACCGTGTGTTTCCTGTATTGGCTATCTGCAGAATGCAGATAGCTGTATTTCATTTCGTTTCATGAACGACACCTTTGCGGGCCGTTCGTGAACCGAAATAACCACCATGTATAGCCCACACACTTAGAGACGTGTGACGCTTGTTAACTGATTGCAACAATGTTGCAATCGGTAATTAGAGGCTCTCCTAGGTGGCCGCCGTTCGACTACCGACCATGCGGCGGTCGGCCATCTTGGATCCTTTGTTCCCTCAGCGGTGTTTGGTCGTTGAGCGCATGGAACTAAAAACGGCTACTAGACGGCGCGAACACCGCTGAGCTTCCAGGCCGTTCGGGAGTTCCAGGCCGTTCAGTATTATGTTCCCTAGACTTCAATCGGTCTTTTGAATATATATTTTAATTAATGTGTTTTTCGTGCGGCGTTCGGTTGTTTTAGCTGGGATCTGAGCGGTAATCTCACGAATGATGCGCTCAGACCCCAGCTATCTACCGAACGTCCATTCGTGCAAATAGACGGAATATTTGAAAAGTTGTGTATTTTAATATAAATTGCCGGTTCTGCTGCACGGAGGGATAATCCACTTAACGGTATATTCTAGTGGGAGGATCCCTCTCGTGCAGCAGTGCCTGATGGGAGAAAGGCTCTGTAATGTAAGTTCCCCAGGTAGTCCACTCTGGGAATGCCCCTGGGATGGGACTCAGGAAACCCCTTGCATGGGAAATTGTATAAATTGTGGAGCTGCAAATAAAGAACTAGCAGAATTTGTGGATTTAATACTGCCGATCCGCTACAGAGTCCTTGCACCATATCCAATTAAACAAGTAGAAGTGGTTATGGTGCTAAGACTATCTCTTAAATGGAGTTTGGGGTGCCAGAAATGCTATCTGAAATAGTTATAATTACCTCAATTTAAATCCCTGATATAATCAAACCTGTTGGAATGATTAAATAGCTATTTCATGGCAAAAATACAGAAAATTAAATATAATGTTATTTAAACGCTGATTTCATAAGCAATGAGCTATTTGAAGAAAATGGTTTATGTAAATGTTTAAAATTAGGAGCATGTAAGTTATTAAAATGTTCAGTTCATAAAATGCATATATCTTTAATTCAAGTTTCAAATATATTCTGCTAAATAATTGCTTCAAAGCATGAAACAATTAGCCTGTTAGTGATCTCTCTGTGGAAATGTCAGGTTGTATAAATAAGGGTTTAGGATTCCCTCAAAACTTGTATCCAGTAGCAAACAATAATTGGATTTTGGGCACTTCAGACTACATAATGCACGGTAGATACATTTCAATTTATTTATTTTATTATCAGGGATTCATTGCAGAAAATTAAAACTGAAACACAATCCACATATTAACTTGTCAATTTTTTCTCAAGCATTATTAACAAAAAGTGTTTCTTAAGCTGCTGTGTAAAAGAGAAGCCTGGAGCTGTATATCTTAGAGAGAATTAATACAGGAAACACTATTTTAACATTATATTAGTCATTTGACTATGCACATATTGAAATTTAAGCTTCCAACTGCTCACATTTAATAGGCAATGAGCTAATCTGCACATTACCTTTTGATAACTAGCATTTATTCCATGTCTATTTAATACATGTAGAGATCTACACTGAAGCTTAAAGGGACACTACAGTCACCAAAACAACTTTAGCTTAATTAAGCAGTTTTGGTGTATAGATTATGCCCCTACAGTCTCACTGCGCAGTTCTCTGTCATTTAGGTGTTAAATCACTTTGTTTATGCAGCTCTAGCCACACCTCCCTGTATGTAACTTACACAGCCTTCCTAAACACTGCCTGTAAAGAATCATCTAATGTTTACACTTCATTTACTGCAAATTCTGTTTCATTTAGAAGTTCATATCTCCTGCTCTGTTAAAGGCTTGCTAGAACCTGCAGGAACCCCTGTATGTAATTAAATTTCAATTTACAGAGCTGGAGATAAAACCTTTTAAATAAGTTACATCTGATTGAAAATGAAACTACTTTGTATTGAGAGCTGTGTCTGTCACAGCCAGGGGAGGTGTGACTGGGGCTGCATAAACAGAAACAAAAGTGATTTAACTCATAAATGGCAGTAAATTAAGCAGTAAAACTTCAGAGAATATATCCACCAAAATCGCATCATTAAGTTAAAGCTGTTTTGGTAACTATAGTGTCCCTTGAAAACAAGAGGTAGATTTTCAAGGGTATACATTTTTCAAATTGTTTGATTATTAAAATCCAGATAAGGGAATAAAAGTAATATGTACTTACTATTCTTCTCACAAAAAATCAATTTAATCAAAATCTACAAGAGATTAATGTAACCTATCAATAATTATATTTCCAATTCTTACTACACAGAGGTAAGTAACATTAGTTGGTTTAGATATTTTACAACCGGCTAAACTCAAGGGAAGGCAAAATAATGTTGACTAACATCCACAGTTAAGTGCGGATTCTAAACTGTTCTATAAAAGTATTTTTGTTGTTTTTTATTCTTTTTTCTCTTTGCTGTTTTTATACTGTACAGTAATTTTCTCCTGAATGACAGTAGCATAATGCAGTTTAAATAATCAATCCTTGTTAGCTTGTCATACAGTATAATTATCCATGCAACAATTCTGTAACTGCTCTGTTACTGAAGAAAGTCATATTACGTCTTCCAAGAACATTGATTTGTAAAAAACATTTTCATCAACATTAGCCAGTAATGACATCACAGAACATTAAAGACACTTTACAACATTATTCATAAAATGCTGAATTAAGAAGCATAACCTAATAAATTAGAAATTGTAATAAGCCCAAATTATATTATATTGTTAAATGTTGTATTATCATTTTAATGTGATTATACATATAATTATATTTTCCCCTTAAATGGAAACTCTAAGCACCAATATCACTACATCTTATTGTAGTGGATTTGATGCATTGACCCTGTCTCTGCAGTCTGAAAAATGTAAATATAGTGTTTCTGAGAAACAGCAATGTTGACATTTGACAGAGAAGACACTTCTAGTACATGTCACGAACAGCCACTAGATGCATTTCCTCCGTAATACCTTAAAAAATTGTAGATCTTCAACTCACTGTTATCATGCTCAGCATGATGACGCTGAACACTGGTAATTCTTTTCATAGAGAAGCATTTGGATAAAACCTTTCAATGAGAATCATCTGATTGACATAGCGTGGTGATTGCTGCACATACACTGTAGGTCCCCAATTCACTATAAGAAGCACTGAATTGGGCTAGTGATCATCAGAAAGATGATCTCACAGTGAGTGGAGCAGCTGCTGTGATAAGATTGAGATAATGTAGGATAAAATTTGAATTTGAATTCCAAACAGTGAGGATGGCTGAAAATAAAATTTATTTGCAAGGACCCAGAAGGCATTACTAGTGGTACAGCATGCTAACAATGGCAGCAGAATGTAAAAAGAGTGTCTGCATTCATTCACCAGGCCCATATATACAATAATGTTAAATCATATATTTCTAAAATAAAGGAGTTAAAAACTGCTGAAGCAACCTTTATCACTTTCCAGAATGCTATTGGAAAGTCCATTTTCTCCTTCTCTTCCCTAACTGTAGGAATAATATGACTCATTAAACTTCCTGCACTGTTTGGAAGCAAGCGTGATTTAATGTTGTCAGCAAACGTACATGAATTATACCCTGTTTCCCTGAAAATAAGACATCCCCCGAAAATAAGCCCTAGCTTATTTTTGGTGGATGCTCATAATATAAGCCCTACCCTGAAAATAAGGTCAAAATAGCATCTAGAAGCTAATTCACTAATTC